TGGAAGCAATCCAGGAGGGAAGAAACCTAGAACTAAGGAGATATTTCCTGACGTTTAGAATAACCCATCTATGGAACCACTTGCCTCCAGAAGTTGTGGCTTGCTCCATCACTGGAGGTTTTCAAGAAGAGATTGAACAACCATCTATCAGATAATGGTAGAGGAGAGATAGAGTCTCATTAAAATGGCATTTTGCACCAGCGCGTTTTGGCAAGGATGTTAAAAGATAAATCATCTAAATGTTGGAAGTGCCACCAAATTCCTGGGTCATATTATCATATGTGGTGGACCTCTTCAAAAGCAAAAAATATATATTGGACCAAAATACATACATGCTTGGGGGAAAAAATGATAAAACAAACATATTGATTTAGAACCAGAGATATTTCTTTTGGGAAATCCTACCCGAAGAATATAGTAAGGGAAATGCATATTTAGTTATTCATGTGTTGACTGCTGCCAGAATGGTATTTGCACAAAATTGGAAGAGCGAAGAGATACCTACAGATGAGAGTGTGATTAGGAAAACACTAGATAGAACGTGCAGAAATGAATAGATTAACATTGGCAATTAAGGAGAAAGAGCAAACTGAATATTATATGGTATGGGATTTATTTTGTCAGTGGTTAAATGATAACAGTGGAAGTTAGAAATAGGGGAACAAAATAAAGATGATGTGTTAAAAGAGCTAAGTTAATATGATGATTAATATGTTGAATTCTACTACGTTAACATTGTATAATCAATTAGTATAATTAATAGGTGGATAATTACTATGTTGCATATGGCAGAATTAATGTGTAATGAAGGATGTTGTAATTTTGATTATTGTTTAACAAAGATGTTTGTACCCAGACAACACACTGTTTGATTGAAGAGGGAATGATTGTATTAAAAATGAAAAATTTATTTTAAAAAGAAGAAGAAATGGTATAGGGTCTCCTGCCTGAGCAGGGGGTTGGACTAGAAGACCTCCCAAGGTCCCTTCCAACTCTGTTATTCTGAAGTTGCAGAACGGAGAACCTTGCTTGGGTCTGCAGGTTTCTGGCTTTCTGTGATAGGAAGATCTGCAGTGTTCATTCTACAATGAAAGAGAAGAAGTAGCATCAGTTGAGGTTCTTCTAACCAGGTGTGAACTCTGCACGTTGACTTGGGTTGATTGTTGTGTTGCCCTGCATGGCCACTGAGAACAGCTTCCCAATTTTCCCACAAAACCCCCTTTTAATAGGCTAATGGGAATTCTTCTCATTCACATCCAGCGAAGTCCCCGCAAACAGTCTTTCAAGGATGAATTCCAACCACAGATCTTATCAGGCTTCAAGAGTTGCCAGGCCAATAGCTTCCAAGCGCAATGCTGTACCAGAAAATACTTGGCAAGGAGTCTCTGAGAGTCACGAACAAATCTTCACACTAATTAAACAAACTAATTGTCTCTATTCCCCTTTCGCTCCTCTTTATTCCCTATGGGAGGGGCCATTCAATGTCCACCTGTGCCTTTACTCCCGAGTCAACCCTTGTTCCTTAGCTGTTCCCTTCTCCTGGCAGCTCTGTGCATGCGCACACTGGGAACAGGCTCCAGCTGTTCTTCTGCCCCACTGATCTCCGACTCCGAAGGCAGCTGATAACTGTCCGAAGGCCCTGGCCCCATCTCTGCCTTTGACGCAGAGCCCTCGTCTGAGCCTTCCCCAGACTCCAGGACTGGCCCATGTTCCTCTCCAACCTCACTGTCTGAGTCTGCCGCTAGCTCCGTTGGCCACTGGCAGGCCACACCTTCTGAGTGGACTGGTTTCAATGGCCTCTTTTGGTACAAACATGTTGATTTTGCTGCATCTTGGGCATTTGGAAGTGATCTGATTAGACAAAACCCATGCTGAGCAGATTGACACCATGATTCGGACTTCTGTGGTGACCCCTGGGATGTAAGAATAGAACAGAATAACAGAGTTGAAAGGGACCTTGGAGGTCTTCTAGTCCAACCCCTGCTTAGATGTCTCAAGTTGTGGACTAGAAGAAGGAAGAATACATTCAAAAGGAAGGATGGGAGCAACCAAATCACTTCCATTTAAGTGTTCCATCAAAAACACCAGGTGGACCTCTTCCTCAATTGAATTCTTTCTTGGCCAAATGTGATTGGACACACAAGGAATTTGTCTTGGTGCAAATGCTTTCAGTGCACATAAAAGAAAAGATACATTCGTCAACAGTCAAGAATCATCGGTACAACACTTAATGATAGTCATAGGATACAATAAGCAGCCAAATCATACTAGGAAACAGTCAATATAAATAATAAGGATACAAGTGACAAAGTTACAGTCGTACAGTCACAAGTGGGAGGGGATGGGCGATAAGGAGTGATGAGAAGATTAACAGTAATAGTAGGGCAGACTTTGTAAATAGTTGGACAGTGTTGAGGGAATTATTTGTTTAGCAGAGTGATAGCGTTCGGGGAAAAACTCCCCTTGTGTCTAGTTGTTCTGGTGTGCAGGGCTCTATAGCGTCGTTTTGAGGGAAGGGGTTGAAACAGTTTATGTCCAGGATGTGAGGGGTCTGTACATATTTTCACAGCCCTCTTTTTGACTCGTGCAGTTTATACAGGTCCTCCATGGAAGGCAGGTTGGTAATAATTTTTTTTTCTCCAATCCTAATTACTCTCTGGAGCCTGGGTATGTCCTGTTGGGTTGCAGAGCCAAACCAGACAGTCATAGAGGTGCAGATGATGGACTCAATCATTCCTCTGTAGAACTGGATCAGCTATAAAGCTAGCAAGGAGGAGAAATTGACTTGAAGAAGACTCCTATCTTTTTAAGAGACATACTTTTGTATCCGACGTAGTCTATAAGCTCGGTAACACCTCTCAAAACTTCAAGAAAGCTTCAATTCTGCCTGAATCCTGAGTAGCTTTTTTTTTAAGGGTATTAAAAAGACACAATCTTTTTTTTTTTGTGATGTGCTTCGTGTCCGAAAGCAGCTCTAAAATAGCTGAAATAGGAAAATATTGAACGTTTAAAATGCTCTGGAAACTTGGTGTCCGGAGTGCAGAATACATCTTTTCCCTGTTAATAATTGAAATTGTGATCAAATTCCAGTGGCGGGGAGTTTGAGATCCCAATTGTCACAAAAGACCCCGTAATAGATTTGTTTTGCTGGATTCCATGCACTTTGCAAGCGGTAGTAAGCTGTCTAAAACTGCTTCTTGTTTTCCTAAAGAGCAATTATGAACTCTGCAAGGGCCAGTTTTGTTAGGAAACTGCTGTTCCTTTCTCCGTTTTTCTTTTTCTTAACTATTTTGTTAAAATCCAGCTCCTTTAAAGTGGCCGGTCTCCCCACCCCACCCTGCCTCCAGACACCCCCCCCCCCCTTGACCTGAGGGGGAGCATTTGACTTTGCAAGGATGAAGGAGCGGGGCAGCCCTGATGGAATGGTTTGGGTGGTGGGGTTGCCAGACCGTCAATATGTTTTCAGCTCCATTAAATGGACGATTAGATTGATGTGGCTTGTTTGTTAAATAATGGAGGGGGATTTAAAAATAAATGAAGCATGCAGCATCCTTTCTACAAGCACATAATTTATTATTACTGGTCTGGAAAGGGCTCTCTGTTATGGAGATCAATGAGTAATTCTAGCAAGTGTGCTAAGGTTGGTTTTGGAAAGAAAGGGAGGATGGAAAGGAGGGACAGAGGGAGGAAAGGAAGGAAGGAAGGGGAAGGGTTGAGGAAGGAAGGGAAGGAGGGGGAGGGGGAGGGAGGGAAGAGAAAAGACAAGGAAAGGGAGGGAGGAAACTTAACAGAGGGAAGGAAGGAAAGAGAAAGGGAAGGACGGAAGAAATGAGGGAGGGGAAAGAAGTGGATGGATAGAAGGGAGGGAAGAGAAAGAGATGAGATGAGGGAAGGAGGAAAGAAGGAAGGAAAGTAAGGAAAAGGAGATGGAAGGAAGGAAGGCAAAGGGGAAGGAAGGAAGGAAGGAAGGCAAAGGGGATGACAGGAAGGAAGGAAGGAAAGAAAGAAGGACGAACAGAGAGGAAGATATGTAGAAAAGTTTCTACACACTTTCCTTCTAAGGATCCAACTTTGCACAAAATAAAGTGCTTCCTGAGAACACTTTTATCTAAAACTTCAGCTCCTGAAATCTTTTATTTTATTTGTCAAGCATGCGTTTAATATAAGTATAAACATGATTATGAATACGTGAAACCTGTTTAAAGAAAAGTCTTCTTTTTAAAGTGTGGAAGGACATATCAGCAACGTCTGTTGATTACAGTAAACTTCAATCCCACAAACCTCCCTGAAGGGCAATTTCCTTATTTATCCCCTGTTCTGGGCATCTCTCTCTCCTCTCCTGTCTCTCTCTCTCTCCTTTCTCTTCTCTCTTCTCTCTCTCTCCTTTCTCTCTCTCTCCTTTCTCTCTCTCTCTCTCTCCTCTCTCTCTTTTCTTTTCGCATGGGGAAACTCCTTCCATGCCCAGGTGGCAAAAGGACCAGGCTAGTGAGAGCATCTTTCTGGTTCCTAGGATACGAGGGAGGAGGAGGAGGAGGAGGAGGAGGAGGAGGAGGAGGAGGAGGAGGAAGAGGCCAAAGATCCCACTCGCTGGTCCTGGTGGCGTTACTAGTTGCCATATGGTGGGGTCGGAGAGCCTCCCCGGAGACGAGTTAGCGCTGGGCCAGCCCCATTGCTCCCCCCACCTTCCCAGGGCTGCCGCAGGGTTTCCCCCCCCCCTCCACCCGCTGCTTACCCATGTGTGAATCTTGATTAATTTTTCATTTTTAATGAAGTTTGCTCATGTTTGTTCTTTCACATGATTGACTGGCGGCCTCTTCTCCTTCCGTGTAATTGATAAAAGCATATTTCTCTTCATCTGTCTCTGAGTTCTGCGGCGCAGAGTTTGCAAGATTGCTGTGTTTCTGTGTGATTAACATGAGATTTATTGGTCCCTTTAGAGGATTAAATTATCTCTGTTCTCCTCTCTCTCTCCCCCCCCCTCCTTTCTCTTCTCTCTGCAGGAAATTCTGCCCACGGTGGCCAAGTTCTGTTTCCCTTTCTACGTGGACAGGTAAGGTTGAATTCCTAAAGACATTGTCAAAAAGGGGAAAGAAAGACAATGTAAATAAAATTGTGCTGGATAACAAAGATCAGGTCATTCTTAAGGCTCTTCCTAAACCTAGTTTAAAAGGATCTCTAGTGGAGTGTTAAGAATTTTTTAAAAAATTGTATTACGAATGATCTACAGCCAAATCAATTTCCTTTTTTTCACCCTTCCTGTGACATTGTCTTAGAAATTATTTACATTCTGCTTTAACATTGTGTTAGTTTTTGCAACTCTGGTTAGTTTTTTCTTTTTGCTTTTTGTGGGTGATTCTGCAAATCAGGTGATTTGCAATGAACTTAAGAGTTTGGAATTTGCTCCTTGCAAATCTTATTGCCCAAATGGTCGGCGAATTCTAGTCCATATAACCTCCCTTTCCTCTCTGTCCTTCTCATTGTCAAACTTTTTTTTTTTTTACTTCTCTTCATTATTGTGTGACACTGATGTCTTGCTGCAATGTCTTGTGTCAGAATTGGGTGGGTGGCTGTAAGGATCGGGGTTAAGTGTCACTATGGGGCAGGTAGAGTCAATAAGAGGGAGACAAGGAGGAATAAATAAATGTTCTCACTGAAGTGTTTTCTCTTAATTTCTGTGGGAGAGGAGAGGAGAGGAGAGAATATAGAATGGAGAATAGAATAGAATAGAATAGAATAGAATAGGGGATAGAATAGAAT